TTGTGCTAGCCTAGTCCTATTATCATCCTTTTTCTTTGCTTTGCCCGTCCACTTGGGCCTAGAAGAAGATGGTATAGACTAGGTTAGATTGATAGGAATGCCCATACTCTTGATTATCCCTTCATCTGTTACCAATTCTATAAGAATATCAGCGAGTGTGAACTCAAACTGATTCCTTATTTAGTTCACTCTAACAGAGTCGAACGAGTTTGGTAACAAGGCAATAATCATATCAACTTGAAACTTACCACCCAAGTCAGCCTTATTGATCTCCAGCTAATTTTTAAATAATAAACAATCATTTTTCAAAATTCGATTTCATACTGGAGTTCCTTGAGCTATCTTGATGCTATTCAAGTCTGACATAGTACTTTGGCATACTCTCTATCTAATCTCACCAAAACATCTTATTAAATTTTAACATGATGCTTGAAGAAAATAAAATAATGTAAATGTTAGCTTTGGAACGTATTCGAGGTAAACTCTAGAATATTGCACCAAGTCATCTCATTTGCCTTATTTCACTTATTCAAAGCATTAATGTTCTCTTGGGTATCTTAAAGTAAAAGGATTAGGTTTAGAAGTAGTAAATACATTTGTACCCTTACATTGTGAATAAAATATCTAAGTTCCTTTCTCAGTCAATATTAATGAGATCCAGTTACATTGAATATGTAAGCAAGCAGATAAATTGGATTAGACATAATTAATCTGAATATAAATGCATTCAAACAATATGCAAGGTGAATTATTAATACTGTCATGCATATTTAAAATTAAAATGAGCTTGTTAACCACATAATACAATAAATCTCAATCGAACAAGAGATCATTATCATTATTGGTGAACAATCCCTTTTAATTAATGCGGGTCCCTCAACTCTGTAGCATAATAAATCAACCAATCAATATGTCAATAACTTATCATGTTGGAAGAGTTCATTATTACTATTATTGAGATTCATTTGCTATTAGGCGAACACTTCCATTAAAATAATAATATGTGGGTCCCTTAACCACTGCATGAAAAATCGAATAACCAATACGCCAATAACTTATTCGGTTGGCGAAGTTCATTATTGCTATTGGCAGGCAAATCCCATCATTTCCATATCTCTTAAGACAATGCCTTGTCTATCTATATGAAATGATTTCCGATTATGTTTAGCCTTTCTAAAATCACCTAGTATAGACCACTCCGTTGGGGAGCTAACACTATTGATTTTAGATTGAGTGTATAACGTTATTAATACTCTAATGAAAAATAAAACATTAAATATCTTGTCATTATAATCTAGACTCTTTAAATCATGCGTAGGGCCTTATTTTTAAAGATCTAATTACAATGAACATTTAATATTATTATTTTTATGAGATAACCATTCTTGTAATATTAAGACTCTTCAAATCATGCGTGGGGCCTTATTTTTGAAGACCTAATTACAATGGTGTTAATAACGAAGGCCATGGGGCAATGTATAAAAATCCCCGCTCCCACTCAATTTTTAATCATTCATAATTAGGGTTTTCATTTTATTCATTTACATGATATAATGCATGCAAAACGTCTTGATTTTAATCCAATTAAATTTAGAAAATATTTGGACTTTAAACGATTCACTAATATTTAATTTGAAGCACACTTTAAAAATAATTTACAAAAAATAATTTTGCGTTTCCCAATAAGTGTTAATTTCATAACTTAATTAATATAAATCAAGCCATTTAAATAAATATCATGGATCCAATGCATGAATAATAATTAATTAACAATTATATATTCTATGCATTTCATACATCGCATAAATAAATAAATGACAGATAAAGCAAATAAAATGGCCAATGGAATCAGCTTTTAATATTTAACTACTCTAAGTATTGCATTAAGATCATCCATCGGCTTGCAAACACCCACATAAGGCTGGAACGCACCGGGAGAAGCAAAACACCGCTTGGAACGTGCATGGAGGGCCCCACACGCGCCTGGGGCATGCTGCAGGTGAAGGCACGCACCCCCACGTGCTGGCACGCGCCTGGGGCGCGTGGGACGCGCCTCCACGCGCCTGTACGCGCATGGAGGTCATACAACCTTGGCTGGCACGTGCAATGCGCGCGCCAGCATATGTCACCTCCTGGCGCGTGTTCCTCACACGCCAGGCTCACCCTCTATGCACCATATCTGATTCCAGCCTCTCCGACGCCTCTTCTCGCCGCCGGCGATGCTCCGGCCACCGGAAAAACGCCGAAAAATTCCAGAAAAATCAGAAAAATTCCTAGAAAATTAAATTACGCCTCAAAAAATTCCAGAAAAATTTCAAAAAATTCGGAAAAATTTCAGAAAATTACTGAAGTATAATTTAACCCTTTTGGACCTTCTTGAAGCTTCATAGCATCCTTTGATGAATATTACATGGCTTTAAAAATATTTACAACTTGAAATACAATGGGAAAAATAAATTACATCATTGAACTTTCAAACGGCTAAATCAAAGCCTTAATTACATTCATCCAAAGATAAAATTACATTAATTTAACCTATAAGCTTCATCCATGGCCCAACTATACATCATCATTCATTCACAATTATTCATACATCATCATGTATCAATATATATCAACATATTAAATCATACATCAACATACATCAATAAATAAATATATATGCATATCAAAATTGGATTCATGAATGATGAATTTTGATAAAAACATGATCTCTAGTAATGAATCAAACCATGCTCTGATACCACTGTTGGGAAACGTGCAAGTTTTAAAAACTTTTCGAGAGATTTTGATTCATAGATCTTGATTCATCACATAGAGACAAGTTTTACGCAAAAATAAATATATGACATTCAATTAACAGATTGAATACTTACATCAAATGTCTGAGTAAACCTTTAAAACTTTCTTCTAAAGTGAATGTTCTCACTTATTGTAAATCCCTTAGCAAGATGCCTTCTCCTTGGATCTCCATCTTCTTGGTAATTGTTTTGCCTTTAGGAATCACTCATAAGCCTCCATGAATGACCTTGGAAAACTAGGCTTGTGGGAGCCTCCATTAGATGAGAACATAAACCCTAATTTTCTAGAGAGAGAAAATAAATTCCTTTTTCCTTCTCATAATAATCACCCCCAAAATATACATAAACCATATATATTTATAGGCAACATAAAAATAAAGAAAAGGAAACAACAAATCCTTCTCAATCTCTAATTCACATGTCTCAAATCTAATATGATTCCAATATCAAGTTGGACTATCAGTGAGAATCCATTGGGCCTATTATTTTATTGGCTACAATGAATTAATAATTGGCCCGGTCCATGGACCCATTCAATTAATTCATAAATTAATTTCTACTCCACTAAAAGAAATTAATTGAACTCCAATTAAATAATAAATAACCTCTAAGTCAATATTGCACTTTGACCCCTCTATACATAATTAATTATCGGATAAATAAAGCCATCAATCCGACTACTTAATTAATATATTTATTTTGGTACCTTTGATTATTTCTAGCTCGATCACAATAAAACATTTGTTTGACAAAAATAATAATTTAAATAAATAAATATATAATAAATCATTTTGTCTAAAAACACACGAAGGCCTTCGAATTTACTTTGTGATCAACCATAATCAATACAAAATAAATACAAGTAGCAATGATGCAAATATTGAAAATATAACCCTCTAACTATTAATTACATAACTACCCAAAGTGTCGGTCTAAGAATCCCGAAGAATCCGCCGAACAAATCAAAGTAATTATTAATTAATAAAAGAGTCTATACTTTTCTCATGCTTAAGAGTCAAATGCCATGACGGTGATAGGGAGTAATTGCATACGACGGCTCTCGCAATATATTTCAACCTAACGCGGATCCAGTTTAAGTCTTAATTAATTATGAGTCCATCCATAATTACCGACTATGAACAATTTATAATTACTATTTATATATCATGCATTGATTGCCATCACATACATATATATAAATATTTTTTATAATTACATGGACACTATCAATTTCATAGTGAATCGAAACATAATACATTGAATTCACCAATTATATAAATCATAAATATTTCAGATATGTCAGGAACATATGTCACTATAATCCAGATAGGAATTTGCTATGCCAGGGCATATAAATCCCAACAAGAAGAACCTACGATCCCAAGGACGGCCAGAGAGGATTTTGACAATGACGCAGCAACAGGGAGTAGCGTGACTGACCTGCGAGCTGCGACCCACAAGCAAGGATTTACAATTCCGCCAAGGCGCCAACAATCAGTGATGCGCGATGAAATAGTGTTGATGGTGACCCAATTCTGGCGAAGTTGAAGGCACGGTGGTGGCGAAGAGCTATTCCACATTCTGACATTCGGTAACCCTTCTCAATTCTCTCTCTCTTACCCATTAATTTAATTTCCCCTTTTCCATTATTACGTATGTATATTTGCTTGTTTAGTTTATTCTGTGCTATATCTATTCTATAACCCTGCTCTTTTCAGTTTTCTTTTTGCATAGAATCAAAGAGATTAGAGTATATATAATATATCTATAGTCTATAGACTATAACCCTGTTCTTTTCAGTTTACTTTTTCATAGTTGGAATATCAATTATTTTTTTTATTAATTTATTCTTGTGTTAGACGCACATATCTATGTACAGTGTTATGTGTGATTGAAAATTTAATTGTAACCGAAATGAATTTCTTCTCTAAACCTAACTCAATGAAATTTTAATACACAATTTATTTTGTATACTATGCACAGACACAATTTATTTTTTATACACTGCATAGGCACACAATTGTGAGTGATAACTTTTTTATATTTTAAATTAATTGTTTTATATGCAATGAGGGCGTAATATTATTTTTACTCAATTATGCTTATTAGAATTTAGGATCGATAGATTAAATTACAATGTAAAACCTAGGTTTTAAAAGTTTATATTTGAATTACCTTTTTTAGGTACAGTGTTATACGATGGTAAAGCCAAAAAGAACTATTGATGCTTTTTTTAAAAAAAATGATGTACCTTCCGTGGCTTCTGCCTCTAATGTTGATGTTTCGGTTCATGATAACCAGTGTCCTCCAAAATCTCCAAGAGTTGAACATACAAAAGTTGATCCTACCTTTTTAGAACGTGATCCAGGATTACGTCGTCAAATATGGGATTATCCTATTGACAAACGTGACGAAGTTCGACGAGCTTACATCAAAGCGAAAGCATACCAAATTCCGCTTTCAGAATGTCCGCTTTCTAGATCGGAAAAGCATCCTCGTCGGTTTCAATCATCTTGGTTTAAATTATTCCCTTCCTGGTTAGAGTATTCTCCTTCAAAGGATGCTGCATTTTGCTTACCTTGCTTTCTTTTTGGAGCGAAACCAACGGGGCGTCCCGGAACCAATGCATTCACTAATGAAGGATTTCGAAGTTGGAAGAAAGTTAATGATGGTAATAAGTGTGCTTTCTTAAATCATATGGGAGGAAGTCCATGTTCTGCTCATAACATTGCTGAGAGAGCATGTAAGGACTTAATGAATTAACCTTGTCATATTGATATAGTGATGGATAGAAAAACTTCCGAACAAATTTCAAATAACCGATTGAGATTGAAGGTCACAATTGATGCGGTCTGATGGCTTACTTATCAAGCTTGTGCTTTTAGAGGGCATGATGAATCCCTTCAATCAAGTAATCGAGGCAATTTCATTGAAATGGTAAAGGCTTTTGCGTCATATAATGATGATGTCGCTAAAATTGTTCTTGAAAATGCTCCAAAGAATGCCAAGTATACCTCACCACAAATTCAAAAGGAGATTTTGCATATTCTTTCTACAAAAGTGAGAAATAAGATTCGTGAAGATATCGGCGATGCCAAGTTTTGTATTCTTGTTGATGAAGCTCGTAATGAATCTAAAAAAGAGCAAATGGCTCTCATTTTAAGATACGTTGATAAGGATGGTTTTTTACAAGAACGTTTCTTTGATCTTGTGCATGTCAAAGATACAACTTCATTGAATTTAAAAAAGGATCTTTGTGCGGTTCTTTCTCATTACAATCTTGATGTTCACAATCTCCGAGGTCAAGGTTATGATGGTGCTAGCAATATGCGTGGTGAATGGAATGGTTTGCAAGCATTATTTCTTAATGATTGTCCTTATGCATATTATGTGCATTGCTTAGCTCACCGACTACAACTAGCATTAGTTGCCGCATCTAGAGAAGTAATTGTCGTCCATCAATTCTTTTCAAATTTGAACTTCATTATCAATAGTATCGGAGCTTCTTGTAAACGAACTGATGAATTACATTCTGCTCAAGTTATGGAAATTGCCCATTTGATAGATCTTGATGAACTTGAAACCGGCGGAGGAGCTAATCAGATTGGTACCTTGCAACAACCTGGAGATACTCGTTGGAGCTCCCATTTTGAATCTGTTTGTAGTTTGATAAGGTTATTTGGTCCAACATGTTCAGTTCTTGAAAACATCATTGAAGATGGAAGTAATTACAAGAGCCGAGGAGATGCTGATACTGCTTTTAATACTCTTAGATCATTTCAGTTTGTGTTTATTTTGCATTTGATAAAAGATATCATGGGAATAACTAATATCCTTTGTCAAGCTTTGCAACAAAAATCTCAAGACATCGTAAATGCTATGCAATTGGTTTTGAGTAAAAAACAAATCATTCTGAAATTGAGAGAAAGTGGTTGGAACAACTTACTTGATATTGTTAAATCATTTTGTGAGCGCCACAAAATTGATGTGCTTGATTTGAGTGTTCCTTATACCAAAAAAATTAAGGGCCATTCACATCACCCACAAGAGAATATTACACTTGAGCACCACTATCGGATTGATATATTTTATGGCACAATTGATTCGCAATTGCAGGAGTTGAATAACAGGTTTAGTGAAAAAGCAATGAAACTTGTTACTCTCAGCTCAGCTTTGGATCCTAGAGATGGTTATAAGTTGTTTAACGTTGAAGACATTTGCACGCTTGTAGATGAATTTTATCCTCAAGATTTCACAGACCAAGAGAGGATTAGTTTGACATTCCAATTGCAACATTATAAGGTTGAAGTGCTTGCTCATTCACATTTGAAAAATATGTCGACAATTTCTGAGCTATGCAGAAGATTAGTGGAAACAGAGAAGTCAAAAATCTACTTTTTGATTGACAGGTTGATTCGTCTTGTCTGGACTCTTCCCGTTTCCACGGCAACTACAGAAAAGGCATTTTCAACTATGAAACTTGTCAAAACACAACTACGCAATAGGACGGAGGATGAGTTTCTTGCAGATTACTTGAGCGTCAGTATTGAAAAAGAAATTGCTCAGACTTTTAGTACAGATTCAATTATAGATGAATTTTCTTCTCTAAAAGATCGTCAGCTTTTGTAGTAGTTGTTTGGTCTTTCAGGCATTTTTTTTTTTTGTTTTTTGTTTTTGTATATATATCCATGTCATATTTGACTAGATATAGGCCAATTATTATTTTATAAATAAATTAGCCAGATTTTGGTTAGATATATTTTTGTATGCATCTAATCGATCATGAAATACTTTTCACTTAAAATATTATTATATTATATTGGTAAAACTGTTAATACTACGGCCCCCCCTTATATTGAATCCTGGCTTTGCCCATGCATACATATATGTTGTATAATCATGGTAAACACACAATACAACACACAAATAATCCCAGAACATTCCCTACCTCAACAAATCCAGTACTACGGTTGTGCCTAATGGCTCACCCCACGAGAGCCTAAACAAAAGGTGTCTCTCCACCTACCTCAAAACCAACTCTAGGTCAACAACAACCTAAACTACAATACAACCGTGACTACAATCACCATCAACCTCAACTCGAGCCTCAATGACCAATCTCGTGTCATGCCAAATATGTAACACAGTTATGCATATACAAATCTGATCTAGAATACATCATATGTCATGCTCTTTACATAATAATTAAATTATGCTAAACAAACGGCATACCACATGTAGCACGTAAGCACATAAACATGTTATCAAACCAAAACAAATTATCATGAAGCATATAAACACATAGAGCATGGCAATATAAGCATGATATGCACCCAAAACCCGTGGTCCAAGGTATTCAAACCAAGGAGCTCTGATACCACCTGTAACGACCCGAATTTCTCAACCCGGTGCGTTAGTGATGAACCAGAAGTTGACCCGATAACGGACCCGAAATGAGGAAGCAAAAGAAGCTAAATGACCTCAAGAGATGTACGTCATCCCTAAGGCTCCAAAATGACTCTCCATGAAACCACGGAACTCAAATGAGCTAAGCAAATGAAGCAAGAATGCCTAACCCAAAAAGAGATGACATTTCCCACTGAAAAGGGTGCCACCGTGCACACCATTGGAAGGACAACGTAAAATGAACAAAATTGGACTCAAGAATCGTCTGATTCTGAGTCCGGGCAGAAAAGATATGAAATTCCAACACCCGATGCGAAAGTTATGAAGCAATGACTTAACATTTTCCAATATTTTCATAATAAACTTTGAAAACAAAAGTGCATAGAAAACGAGATGCATGTCATTGGCCTCCGGCCTCATCTCATACATGTTAAATACATTGAAAATAGTGCACTTACGTACACTTTACATATACGAATCAACGAATATAAGTTTAAACAAATAGGGCTACAAAGAGGCATCTTATGCTAACACTTGCATAGAATAGAAACTGTAAGCCATCTAAGGAACAATGGAATCTTCAAATCCTGAGTCCTGTACCTGAAATATGCCTTAGTATCGTAGGGGTGAATAACATAAAGCTACTCGTAAGAGATGAGCATGCATTGACCTAGCATTTTACAATTTTATCACCTTATGGTGAAACATGTTAAAGGGGCTCATGCCACCTAACATCTATGTCAAGATGAGACCCAGGGAGCATCCTAAGCTACCTAGATCATTTCTATCACAATCACATTGTTCATACAATTCAAACAACATGGAAACATGTTATACAAGGCAACGAGATATAGATTCTCAAAATCTTCTACTTGAAATCCAAAATACGAAAACAACAAGTGTGGGTCATGCCAACTAACGTCTATGTTCAAAATGAATCTATAAGGTCATTCCTAAACTACATTTGAACATCAAAACACAAATTATGATATCGATGCAATTTAACCAACAATAGAACTTCCAATACAACGCATGAAGCATGTTTTCACAAAGCTACATCTTAAGCTCAAAATAGGAAATCAAATAAGGAACAACAAGTTACGATATCATCTAGTTATCAACTTGAAATGAAATATGAAATCAAACAAAGTGGATACTCGGACGTCACGCCAGATCAAACTGACAACATAGTTACTTTAGGGTTACTAGCCCATGGGTAACCTCCCTATGTGCGCACTAGACTATATAGAGGGACAATCCCCCGTACTAGAACCAAGTCCTAGCCGTAGCCAAACAATGACATCCTGAAGTTTCCAAAATCAACAAATTGTGCAACAACGTATATATATCAACATGTATATACAAGATATCAACTATTTACCAAGCACAATACAAATTTTAGAAACTTATACAATACATGCTCAAAATTCACAACTACTATGACATGTAAGATGTCAAATACAAAGTGTCAATTCCTTACACATAGCAACAATATATTCAATAAGGAAAAACATATTCTCATGAATATAAAAGTAACAACTATGTTATCCAATGCTCAAAAGTAATCAAGTGAACATACATCAAATCCAAATCCATGATTTAAATATAGAAACAACTTCCAAAATGCAATTAAATCCATGGAGTAATAAAGTAGAATTTAATTAAACATAAGTAGTTAAATTCTCTAAATTCCAAGTTAATCCAAATAACCTCAATTTAATATATATTGAAAGACATGTCATGGTCATCATATATATAACATCAAATGACAAGTTAAGTGATTAAAACATTTAAAACAAAATTAATCAAGTTAATTAATTAATTTCCTCTAGATTTTTAAACAATTTCAAATGCCCTCAATTTAATCTATGTTAGAGAACATGCCAAAGCCTATTTAAATACCACATTAGAACTTGATTTAATGCTTGATACAACCATGTGAATTAAACTTTCACTAAAGATAAATATTAAATAAAAGTTGTAATTCTTAATCAAATGATCCAAATTTAATATATGTTAACCAACATATCTAAGCATAATTTCCTAACATGTTACAATTCAAATCAAAGTTATACATCATCATAAATTTTAAATCTTATACAAAGAAATAAAAATTATTAACTTTCTAGATTTGATACAAGGCATACATATATGTTGTATAATCATGGCAAACACACAATACAACACACAAATAATCCTAAAATATTCCCTACCTCAATTGGAATGAAAATCCCAATTACCACCGAAATGAAATCGCTCCAAATTTTCAGTCCGCAAAACAGATTTTTCAACTTGCTACGTTCAACTTGTAAAATTCATAAAAAATTCAATTCTAACCCAAATTGAATGAATCCAAAGTCTAATGAAAGCTTAAACACTGTAACTTGATAATATCAATTTAGTTTAACAAAATATTTTCTCAATTGAAACAGTTTTGACCCATAACTTTGAAACAAATTCTACCCAGAAAACACATTTTTAGCCTGTAGCTTCCAACTTTGAAAATTCATGAAAAATTCATTTGACATCCAAATTGGGTAAACCTAATTTATTTTGGAAGTAAACATATGAGAGTGTAAAACTAGAATTTTAAGCCATGATCCAATATCAAAAGGTTAGTGAAATAAATCATCTAAAAATATGTTTTGCAGCTGCAATAAAAACATGGATAACAGATAGTTTCGGATTTTAAAAAAAATTTAGAAATCCTCTAAAATTGTGAAAAAATTCTGAGTAGTGTAAAACCCATGGAGGAAGTTCCAGTAAAAATTTCAAGATAATTGAAGCACTACAACTCCATATAAAAATTCATTTCCGGACCAAAAAGGAAAAGCTTCAAATTTCCAGCAACTAGCTTGCAACTTCAAAAATTCATAACTAATTCATTTTAAATCCAAATTACATGAAACCAAAACTAAATGAAAGCTAATTGAGTATATTTTCATATTCTATATTTAATTGGATAAGATTAATTTCAAGTTAAAACAGTTTAAGTGTAAAATATAAGTCATTTTCTTCCATACATGTAAAACACTCAATAATGACATAAAAATACTTCAAAATAATAGATCAATACCTCACTAGAGAATTAAATCTCTAGATATCAAAGCAAAACTAGGAGTTAGGCTAGATCCTTCAAGGGTTTTGAAGAGGAGAATGAGGGGAACAAAAAGTATTCCAAGCTTTATGGTCTAAAGTAAGTGGAAGGGCCTCAAAGATCAAGGTCAATGCCTAAGGCTTTAAGCTCCATCCATGGAGGCTAGGGTTTTCTTGTAAGGAAGAGAATGAAATAATGTGGTTAAGTGTGAGTGGAAGAAATAGAAATCCTGCACTCACTATGTGCTCTTACACCATGGTCAACACACACATCTATGGTCAATTAAACAAAAACCCTCCTTTAAAACCATAATCCCAAAGTGGCCCAAAGATATTTGCAAGACTAAATTGTGAACCTACACTTGTCACCAATCCATGGCTCCTTCCTAGGCTTAATCCCACACCTACACTTGTCAACCATCCAAGCCAACAAGTGCACCAATCCTAGGCCAACAAGTGGGTGAATCATCACCCTCCAAATGTCATCATCCAATTCATTTAAGTGTTTCCACACAAATGTCAACAAGTGGACCAATGAGAATGGGACACTTGTCACACTTTTCAAAAATTACAAAAAGGTCCTTTTTGGAAATATCTTCCAAATTTAATTGTAAAATGGTCCCCAAGATGAAAAATAATTACTTTATTTAATTACACTAAAATCCCACAAGTTAAGAATAATTACACTAAAGTATGCATTAATGCCCCTTTATGAAAGAAGTAAGCAATCAGCATGCTTTTCTAGAAAAGTAAAAATACCACTATCATGGAAATCAAATATCATGAATGCATGCAAAATTGGAATCAAATCTGAGCACAAAAAGTGAGGTTGTGCAAGGAAAAAGGATAAACGAGAAAAAGACAAAATGTGAATAGTGTTCGGAAATATAAAATATGGAAATGACACAATCCCCAAAGGAAGTTGTCAATCCAAGGAAAAGAGTCTCGGAAATCATTCCAGAGCACTTGAGATAACATTAAGTGATGAAAAACCGAACCCAAAAAGGAAAAGACAACCGAAAAAAAATATCCGTTAAAATCTAAGAAAAAGAAAAGGAAGAAAAATGACCGGGTCATTACAACCTTCCCACCTTAAAGGGATTTTGTCCCCAAAATCTAGCCCCAAC